ATCTCTGTGTATCCTGCTGTGGCCAGCCCTGAGCTGCTCCAGAAGAAGCACAAGCTGCTGGCCCAGCTTGTGTGGCCCCCCAGAATCAGGAGCACATCCCTGTGAGGATCCCCGATCTCACATTTCTGCCCCAGGAGCCTGATGCCCAAAGGAGACAGGAGAGAGGCTGGTCCCCTGTGCTGGGAATGGGGCGGGCTGGGGCAGGTGGCTTCTGCCAGATCATGCTCGGCTCCGTTTGGGCTTCTCTTTGGAGAGTTGTGTGCCCTGTGCTGCTCTGGCAGCCAGGTGGCTCTGCCACCATTCCCGACATGGCAAAGCAAACACAGCACGAACTGTGCACTGTGCACTGTGCACCTCAGAGTCCGGTGACAGTCAGGGTGTGCTCCAGGTGTCACCTTCCACCCCAGCCACGGGAGCAGCTGTGCTGCCGAGAGAGGATCTGCTGTCTCCAGGATCCAGTCGCAGTACAGATCACTGAGTGCCAACCAGTAACGGGGGGGGAGGGACAAAAATGGAGAAGAACCCCCAACTAATTAGCAGGCACTGAAAATCCCCGAGCCATCCCGTGCTGAAGTGGGAGCCACTATGGGAGAACAGCTCAGGCTTTGTGCACAGCCCACAGCAGCCATTTGAGGAGGTGAACAGGTTCTGGCACTAAATCCTGGGGCTGAATTACTCCATCCACCCGTAGCCAGATGGCAAAACCAACCAGTCCGGCCCTTCCATCAGAAGGGCCCTGTGCTGTTACGGGACACATCCCACAGACAAGAGCCCTTTAAGTGACCGGGAACAACACACTGATTGAGTGGACATGCAGGTGAAGTGATGAGCTCCCTCCAGGGCACAGGTGAAGACACTTGTTCCTGCTGTGAGTGCAAGGCAGAGCCTGTCCTGGCTGTGTTTCCAGTGGTCTGTGCTGGTTCCCACTTTACCAGCCAGCCCCAGAGGATGGCTGTGCTGCCCCAGCTCCCTGGCAGAAGCTGCTGCTGTCGGGGCTGAGCGTAGGCTCTTCAGCCTTGCTGGTCCCCAAAGTGAGGAGTGCCCAGTGGCAGAACCCCCAGCAAAGGGCCACACGCTCCCCAGAACACCCCAGTGCTGTGCTGGCTCTGAGGGGACCACACAGCATCACCCCTGCGTCACTGCTGGCAGTGTGGCCCCTGTCCCCCTCTGGCAGGGTGCTGGGGGTGTGTAGGGTGGGTTTCCTGAAGCCCTGTCCTGGGGGACCCCCTGCTCCCCAGCACTGACCCCGCACAGCTGCCAGCGCCGGCCCTGGGTTTAGCACCAGTGTTTGCAGAGCGTCGGGGCCTTGGAGGCTCACACTGTTTATTTGTTCCTCGTAACTGAAGATGTCCCTCAGCCCTGGAGCAGCTTCCTGGGAAAAGCCATTCTTCAGCAAATAAATAATTTCCCGGGCGGGGAGGAGGACAGAGGCGCAGCTGCTGGCTGGCTGCGGGGCATGGCCCGGGGCTGGTGCCGCTGGGGGGGAACCCTGGCCCTGTGCCCTGGAACACGTTCAGCAGCACCAGATGTTCCTGCCCGGCACAGCGGGCACAGCCCCGAGTGGATGGTGTCCGTGGGAGCTGGCAGCTCCCGCTCCTGGACCCCGTTCTGCAGCTGGGGCAGGGGCTGAGGGAATGGGGGACCTGCAGAGGGAGATTTGAGTCATGGAATCAGAGTCATTTAGGTTGGAAAAGACCCTCAAGACTGTTCAACTATAAACTTAGCATTGCTGAGAGAAGCTCGGGCCCCACCTCCTTTGGCTGGTGTTTGCTGCGATGGACACAAACCCCAGCTCTTCTAATGCTCCTGGCATTGCTCCTGTCACTGCTCCTGTCACCTCCCTCTGCCGGGACAGCCCTGAGCTGCTGTCCTGAGTGCTCCCACGGGGGGTGACCCCATTTCTGCATGCAGCAGGATGTGTGGAGATGGGATATGGACACACAAGGTGCTGTGCAGGGCAGGGAGCTTGGGAGCAACCACCCTGGGCAGGTCCTGGTGCCCTTGGCCACGCCCTGCCACGCTGCCCACTGCCCTCCACATACCAGGAAGAGCTGGCCCTGCACGGCTGCGTGTGAGCAGCGTCTGGCACATCTGGTGACCACAAGCCCCACGTTGTGAGCCCAGCCCAGTGGGGAAATGCCGCGTCCCGCCGGCGGCGCAGATGGCCCAGGTCTGCCCGGGGCAGCCACCCGCGCCCGGCCCTGAATGCCCGTTTTGTTGGCCAGGCTGGGGCAGGACTAGCCCCCACACTGCCCTGGCCCTGCTGCTCCATGAATACAGGCAGTGTCTGGACGCAAGTGCTGCACTTCAGGGCCCTGCACCCGCTGTCCCGGGGGCTCTCAGGCAAAGGTGACCCTGGGGCTCTCTGGGACAGGGGCTAATGTGTGCTGGGGCTCCTGGCCCCCAGCCAGCCCAGCTGTGCATCTGCAGGGAGATGAAGAAAGCCCCTGCGTCGGGCTGAGCAGAACCTGGCCACGAGAGTGGCCTGCGGGCAGCCCTCTCCTCCTGCCTTGCTGTGCCCTGGGTGCTGCTGGGGAAGGGGTGTTTGCAGGTGCCCCCTGCCACCCCGAGGGGCTGCCGTGCCAGGGCCTGGGGTGCTGTGGAGCTGGCAGCAGCAAGCCTGGGAACAGATTTCTGTTTCCACTGGTGAGTGAGTCAGCGGTGGCACCGCCAAGGCCCGTGGGTCCCCTCCCTTCCCTCCGGCCACCGCCACCACCCACCCGCTGCCCAGCCCTTTCCCACAGCTGCCCAGGGTTGTCAGCCTTGGCACCTGTGGCTCCATGTCACCTCACATCCCTGCATCACCCTGCAGCTCTCCAGACACTGAGCAGGGCCCCTGGTGGCACCAGCGATGTGGCACATGTCCCAGCGCAGGCGGCCGATGGGTGGGGGCACAGCATGAGGGCTGTGGCACTGGGACTGAGCCTCCTGATCCCCATGGAGGACCTGGGGACTGCTGGGCTCTGCCAAGAGGCTGCTGGTGTGGCTGGGCACCACGTCCCAGGCACAGCTCTCTGCTGAGCCCCTGGTCCTGAAACCTGGCTGTGCCTGGACAGCTGTGGGATCCGGGTGGAGGCAGCTCTTGAGGTGGGACAAGGACCCAGGTTTTGGTGCACCCCCAGTGGGTGCCAACAGGCTGCAGCCATGGACAGGCTCTGGCCAGGATGTCCCTGGCACTGTGCCCTGCTCACTGTACATCCTGCTCACCCAAAGACTGGCCACCCCTGGCTCACCTCAGCCCCGAGGCAGTTCTGTGCTGGGGCACCATGGGGAGAGCAGGACGCCAGCCTGGGCAGCGGGGCCAGGAATGAGGCAAAACCACCACAAACAAACCAGCCCAGCCAGTAACTGAGAAGGAGGCGGGGGGGGGATCAGGGCTCACTGCCTGGCTGCACCGAGGGCAGCCGTGCCCACGGGAGGGGATTTTGGGACTGAGGGCTGCGGCACCAGAGCCACCTGCCCAGACGGCCTCGGCTGCCCTTCCCAGGCGCCACATTGCTGTCACGGGGCCCTTGGGCACCACAGCCCCCCAACATCCCTGTCTCAAGCTTCATTTGCTGCTTGCTGCTGAACTGAGAGATTTTAATCTTTTAATCACGTTATGAGCCGAGGTGGTGCCGGCCACGCACAGGAGGAATGTCTGGAAGTCAGCAGCGCCCGTCACGGTGGGAGCCCATCCTGCCCCCACCCACATGTCCCCACCGTGTACTGCCTGGGGACCCCCATGTTCCCCAGCCTGCCTTGTCCTGCCTGAGACTGCAACTTGCACCAGGAAAAGGCCCCGGGACCAGAGACCAGGACCAGGCATCGGGGACGGGTGCCAGGACAAGGATCAGCTCGCAAAGGGCTGCTGGGGCTGAAGCTCCTCGCGGCAGCCCAAACGACCCAACACAAGGTAGTCCTCTGACCACGCAGGTTTCATTCCCCCCTTCCCATGTTTTCTGACCGAGGGGAGCAGCCCTGCGCAGCACGGAGCCACGGCAGCCCCTGCGGAAGAACAACAAAGCCCTGGAATTAGAGATGTGCTGGGAGTTTACTTTACCACAAAAAAATGTCAGAAATCCGCATTGTTTGGACAGGGATTTGCTGGGGATCGCTAGATAAAAGCCTGGCAGGGACCCAGCCCGGGGGGAAAAGTCGGCCGGTTCCTTTCTGTGGCGAGGACTCGCGGCCAAGCGAGGCGAGCAGCGCAGCGCTGGTGCGGGGTCCGGGCCGAGGCAGGGCGGGGGCTGCTGGGGCCGCCGTGAGCCAGAGCAGCACCTGGGAGCAGCGTGGGTCCAGGGAAGGGGGTGCCAGGCTGCCCACGCCTGGCACCGGCTTCAGGTCTTTGCAGGGGAAAACATTTCCGCCTCCCGGGACACCGCCTGGCTCCGCGGCACCGAGAGCCCGGGCGCAGCCCCACGGCCCCCGCCGGCGTGCGGGGCTCGGCGGGGCCCAGGGCAGGCTGCCCTCGCACGCACGGACGGGGGCAGGAGGGCGCTGGGCGCGGGGGCTGCTCTCACCCCGAGCCCCCCGGCAGCTCCGCGCTTGCCAAGTTCTGCAGCAGCGCCGGGGCAGCTGCTCCCGCCGTGCCCACGCTCAGCTGCTCCGCTCTCCAGCAGCGGGGCTCGGCTCCCGGCGGCTCTCGGGCTGCAGCTCAGGCTGGGCCATGCCAAATCCCCTTTACCCCAGGACACAGCAGCGTTTGCTGCCCCGGGTCTGGTCTGAGATCTGCCTGCCACTGTGCTGCCATGGCATCGTGCCGGTGCTGCCGGGGGGATGTGGGGTGTCCCTCTGGGATCGGCGTGGGGAGCTGTGCCTGCCAGGAGTGCAGTGAACAGCAGCCACGTGTGACAGCAACCCCTGGGCACTCCTGGCCGTGGGACAGGACAGTGAAGGACAGGGATGGCGAGGGACAGGGACAGTGAGGGATGGGGCTGGCGAGCGCCTGCCCTGCCCGCTCCTCCCTGCCCAGCCTGAGGACAAACGATAGCACATGCAGCCCGCTTTCACATGTTATGTTTTAATACTGTTCACGTCTAAAATGACCAAAACCAAGCCAAGCGCCCGCAGCCCCTTGCCCTGCCTCACCTGGAGAGCGAGAGGGCCACGGGCTCCCCTGCCCAGGGTTCGCTGCAGGCAGGTGTGCAGGCAGGTGTGCAGGCAGGACACCCCGGTGCTGCGGGCTGGCTCCTCTGCACCCGCTGCCTGAAGGGGCCTCATACAGCTCCAGTGAATGCGTTTAAATAACAAGCTAATGAGCGGCAAAAGCAAGGGCATCTTAACCACATTTCCTAAAATAGCAACCGGCACCTGTTGCTCGTGCCTGGCAGCCGGGGGCCCTGCCCGCCTCGTGGGGCCGGGTGCAGGCCAGGGCACGGGGCTGTCCCGCACTCATGCCGCTGGCAGCTGCGGTGCCGGCACGCGGGGTCCCGGTGGGTGTGTGAGGAGGGGGCTTGGCTGGGGGCAGTGCAGTGGGTGCTCAGTGCAGTGGTATGGGGTGGGTGCTGCTGTGGTGCCAGTGGTGCCGGAGGGATGTGGGGCTGGGCTTCTCTCTGTTCCCCAGGAAGGCGATGCCAGCCGAGCTGCCGTGGTCCGGGGGCCACGTTGTCGTGGGGGTGTCTGCGGGGGGCTGTGCTCACGCGCACTCCCTGCCCCGCAGTGCAGTGGGCACGGGGCAGCTGACGGGCACAGAGGATGGGGAGGGGGTTGGGGTGGAAGCCGGGCTGTCGCCACAGCCCTGGTCCAGCTGGGGTCGGGGTGCCGGGCCCAGGCTGCATCAGGGTGCCCCAGCCAGGCACAGCAGAGGGTGGGTGCAGGAGGGCTGATGGGAACCCCCGGATGCTCAGACCACAAAGTGGAGCCCGTATGTCATCTGATGGCCGTTGTCCCAGGCGTAGAGCACCTTCTCCTTGGGGTTGTAGTCGACCTGCGTGGTGAAGGAGTAGTGGTTGAGGAAGGGCAGTCGGAGCTCTGCCTCCGTGTTCGTGTGCGTGTCAAAGGCGTAGGAGATCTGCCCTTCCTTCTGGCTGTAGGTGTCTACAGCGTAGAGGATGCCACAGATGATGAAGCAGTTCCCGTAGGTGTTGCGCTTCAGCCCCGTCTTCCAGGTGGTTTCCTTGCGCACTGAGAGGTCCCCGGGGTCGAGTCGGCTCAGCACGATCACCTCCTGCTGCGAGTAGTCGTAGTCCACAGAGGGGTAGATAACCCAGAGCCCGCTCTCATCCACAGCAAAGTCAATGTCTGAGTGGCCCCTCCACTTCCAGGGCGTTGTGTCCTCATACACCACATCGTGGAGCAGCGCCCAGCCCGCCACGTACCGCTCCTTCAGGTCATACTTGATGATGTTCTTGGTGAAGGCACGGTTGTAGTAGAAGGCCCCCCGGTACACCACATGCCCGGTGCCAATCCAGTTGTAGGGCAGCTTGTAGAGGTTGCTCCAGCGGCCTGTGAGGGGGTGGGAGAGGCGCTGGGACCCGCTGCAGCACTGGGTCCCATGCACAATGGCCCGAGTGTGCAGGCAGTGGCAGGGGACTTGTGTCCCCCTCACTGCCCTGTGGGTGCTCCCAGTGCAGGTCCCCATGAGCTGCCCACTGCCCCAGGGCTGGCACAGCCAGTGTCACACGGCACTGGGCACTCACCCAGGAGGAGCCGAGGCCCCTGCACCCACTCGGCTGCTGACTCTCACCCTGCTTGAAGTTCTCGAGGCTCCTGAACTCCACCAGGCTGTTCCCATAGTAGTAGTTGGTGACATAGATACGGTCATCCTTGGCTGCCGGGTCCTTCATCCAGGCCCCCTCGTTGCGCCCGTAGCTGTGGTGCTCCATGGGAGGCTCCACCGACTCGATGGTGCCTTCGCACTCCACCTCCTTCACTGGGTACCATGGAGGAGGAGGACGAGGGCTTATCCCTGCCCCAGGCAGCTGCCTTCTCCTCCTTCCCCATGGCACGGCTATTGCTGACCTGGCCTGGCCACAGGCACTGGGACTGCTGGGCCGGGTGCCCCCTCCCAGCTGCCCCCCACTCACCCACCTCTGTTTGGTGTTTCGGGGTCCCCAGTGCTGTCATCCCCCTGCCCAAGGGGGCTGGGGGGGCTGCGGGTGGTGCTGCGGGGGGCTGGGGCAGTGCTGGGCACAGCCGTGGTGTTGGGCACGGCGGTCTCTGTCTGTGCAACAGCTTGGGCTGGGGTCCCCTCAGCTGCAGGGGGTGGGGGGCCCCTCTCCTCCTGCTGCTCCGGCACAGCTGGCCCCCTTGCAGGGCTCTCTGTGGGGGGACAAGCTGGGAGTCAGTGCATTTGCAGGGGCAGCCCCAGGCCCTCTGCCTCGGTGGGAGGGTGCTCCCATGCCCCCCGCCTGTGCCCCACGCCGGGACTCACCGCGGCTGCCGGCCGGCCCCTCCGCCGCTCCCGCCTGCCCCACCTTGTAGTACGTGATGCCTCGGACCACGGTCTGCTGGTGCGCCAGGGGCTTGGGCTTGGGTGTGGGCTGGGACCCTGCCCTGGCCTTGGTGTTCTCCTTTTTGGGCTTCTCAGGCTTCAGTGGCTTCTCCTTGGGCGCTCGAGGGGCCACCTTGTCCCCCAGTGCCTTGCGGGTGCTGGGGTACCGCCCCGCCTCCTTCTCTCGGCCGCCTGCCGTGTCCTGGGGGGCACAGCCTGTCAGACCCCCTCCCCTCCCATCCCTCCACTTCCCTGCTGCCACCGAGCCAGGCAGTGGGCACAGGCACCAGCCCCTGGCTGCCAGGGGTGCACCTCTCACAAGCCTGGGGGAGCTCAGCTCTGCCTGGCAGCACCGGCTGTGCCTGTGCAGGGCTGGGCCCTGGGGTACCTATGGCTCGGGGTACCTGTGGCTCGGGGTACCTGTGCCTTGCTCTCGGGGACAGCAGCCGCGTCCTTCTGCAGCAGCTGGTAACCCAGGTTGGAGATCTCCTTCTTGATGCTGAGCATGATGTCGGAGTAGTTCTCGTAGCGTTTCATCTGGTTGGTGAGGTGCAGGACGCTCTCCTTCATGAAGTCGTTCTCCCTGCTCAGGTTAGTCTTGATGGTCTGCAGGAGAGGAGAGGCTGGAACCACAGCACCACCAGAAAGTCCTGAGCAGTTCAGCAGGGAGCACTGCAGGGATGGTGCTGCCAGAGCTCACCTCCTCCAGTGTGTTCATCTGGGCCACCACCTTGCTGATGTAGGAGTGCACCTTCATCAGGTCCATGCTGTACAGCGTTCCCTCCAGCAGGTCCACCATGGACTGCAGCTGCAGAGGAAGAGCAGGGATGGGCCACAGGGCAGGGCTGAGACATGGGGCAGGGGCAGAATGTGGGGGTGAGGCACAGGGCACAGGAGCGGGCACAGGGCAGGGCTGTGCAGTGCGGGGAGGGTGCGTCTGGTCCCCAGTCCCACCACGCCTCAGGTACCTTGAAGAGCTCAGGCGCCTGCTTCTTCAGCTTCTCCATCTTCCACTCGTTCTCACAGGGGTTCAGCGAGGAGGGGGGCGCAGTGCAGGAGCACTTGCAGTCGGCCCCCGAGCTCACCGTCTCCACCGTGTAGAAATCCTCCACGCGCGCGCTGCCGTTCCTGACGCGGCTGCAGGCGTCCTTGCTCAGCGGCCGCAGGATGCACTTGCAGCGGCAGTCGGAGCCCTCCGAGGTCATCCTGACCTGGTCCGTGTCACCCAGCGCCTGTGGGACTCGTGGTGAGCCTGGTGTCTCACCAGGGCACCGCTGACCCCAGCAAGCCATCACAGCCCTCCTCCTCTCTTTTGCCTGCCCAGAGTTCTCCCACCACCCCAGGGGCTCCTGGTTGTGCCCCAGTGAGCATGGGGCAGAGTCTGGCCCAGAGCACCGTGTCTCACCGCTCTGCACCCGGGCTGACGGTGACAAAGCCCAGGCAGCTGCTTGTCCCTATGGCCACCAGAGCGTTTTGGGGGCCAGGTAATCCAGGCCCACTTCTGTGGCTGTTTCCCAGCCTCCAGCAAGACCCGAGTGAGCAGGGACGGTGGTAAGACCCAGCAGTGACTCTGTGCCCCCACGCCCACGGCCTCCAGCCCACACAGGGTTCGTTGTTCGTGGTGACATTGCAGCCACCTCAGGGTGAGCTCGGCCCCTCCAGACTCCGGCAATGGCCCCAGGCACATGCTCAAGGACTCTGTTGTTTCCACACATGGCCCTGACTCACGCTATGAGCCAGGGTGCTTTTCAGCCGGTTTAGCCCAGTTCTCCCCTAGTCCCGCTGTGCTCAGGAACAAGGGAGCCGAGCCCCCCGAGCCCCCCACCACTGGCTGTGCACCCTGGGGGATGCCTGGGCTGGCAGGAGCTGTGCTGGGTGCCCTGTGTGCAGGGATGCGCCTGCTCCAAGCACCCGTGAGGGTGGGACAACAGCAACAGGCAGTGCAGTGACCCTGGAGGGACAGGGCTCTGCCCACAGGGACTCTGACTCATCCTGGGAAACAGAATGGTGGCAGAGCTGGGAAACAAGTTGAGCTCTGGCTCCCGGTCCTCCCCGGACCACAGCGGAGCACAGTGCGGCGTGGGAAAGGGCAGAGGCCCACGGGGTCCATGTCCTGCCTGCAGGCAGCACCCATGGCCACACAGGGACCCTCCCTTCAGAGCCCAACTGGGATGACACGCTGGTGGCACCGGGGCAGCAGCTCTCCCTGAGCACTGCCCGTGCAGCACAGACCCCAGGCTCCCCATAGCCCACATGGGCCAGGGGCTTCCTTCTCTTCCTGAAGGGCTGCAAAACCTCATGCATTTTGCATTTCAAAAAACCCTCTTTCATTCAAAGGGAAACCAGGTCCCGCTGGCTGAAGGAAAACACGGGTGGGGGGGGCAAAGGGTTGTAAATTGAGGAGGATCTAATCAAGCTCTCAGCAGGGAGCAGGGCAGAGACCCCCTTCCCAAACACCAAGTCGACAGGCTTACACCTCTCCGGGCCCCCTGGCCTCCCCATGGCCATGCTGGTGCTTGTGCAAACAGGCAGGAGGATTCACAGTCCGGCCACGGGCTGCCGTCCCCTCCTCACAGAGCCGGGCAGCTCCCCAGGCCCGAGCTGGGCAGCTGTGCTGGCCATGAGCAATGTCTGTCCAGGACACTGAGCTGCATGAGGTCCTGGTGTGCACACACATCCCTGTGGGAACCCCACTCAAGGTCCCAGGGCGCCTCATGGGAGTCCCACTTCAATTCCTAGCCGGGGTCCCCTATTCCCACCAACACCCAAGCACCGGTGAAGGTTCCACCATGGCAGCACAGCCCCACACCCAGGCACACACTGCAATCCCACCCACCCTCAGCACCTTCTGCAGGGCAGGGCTGCAGCTGCCTGGGCTGGCAGCTCTTTCCCAAAGGAGCAGGTGACTGTGGGCTGTGGGTCCCCTCCCACGGCCCTGGCACGCTGTGGTGGGAGGCACGAGTGGCACAGAGGCCCTGCATGTCCCACTGGGGTGAGGCACAAACAGGCGGGTGCCCAGAGCAACAAACGTGCCTGGAGCAGCCACAGCAGCTGTGACACTGCACGGTGAGGGGGTGTCCGGCACACAGAGCCTCCCCCATGGCAGGAAGGGCCAAGCCCTTCCCAGGGACCCCCCAGTTCCAGCCCTGTGTGTGCCTCACTGCTCCACAGCCGGGGCAGCCGCCCGCCTTCATGTGGGGCCGTAACACTAAACCTTGTTCTGCCTTTTACCAGCTCCTTAAACAGGAACCACATGTTCTATTTATACAGAAAAACTCATAAACAAGGAAATATTAAAAACCAGGCTCTGACGTGGGGAGCCTCTGCAAGGGTCACCTGCCGTGGGTGCCCTCTGTCAGCCTGTGCCTGGCTGTGCCCGGCTTGGCAGGGCACAGCCCACACCTGCCATACACATGAACACTGGACAGGTGGGTCTGGATGTGGAGGCACAAGGCAGCCTGTGCTGCACTGCCTGCTCCGGGTGGGAATCCAACGGCTCCCTGAGAAACCCGTGTGAGGGCTGCTACAGCCCCATGGAGGCTCTGGTGGTTCTTTCCCTGGATCCCCCCGCTCACTGCAGACCCCAGCCCAGGGTGCAGGAGGTGGGTGCCGCCCATCCTCCGGAGTGGGTCCCAGATCCACAGGGGCTGGACAGCCATGGCTGGTGTGGGAGAGTGTCCCTGCACTTTGCTGAGGGTTTCCACACTCCCAGCTTTACGAGCTGGGTAATTTTCCCAGTTTTTGAAACCTCCTGCAAGAGCATCCATGTGAGCACTGAGTTTGTGACATTATTTGGAGAAAGCAGGACCTTTGACAATGACCCTTGGCCAGCTTTTAAGCTCTCCTTTGGCTGCTGCCAGAGGACTCGTCTGGGAGGAAAACACGCTGTGTTGATAAGCTGCTGCGCCGCACGCCTCTGGCACAGCTGCTGGAAGGCATGTCCCCGTCATGGGAGGGAAACCATGTCACCCTCCTCTTCCTCCTCCTCCCAGGCTTGGCACAAGGTGTCAAACACATCCTGCAGCCGAGGCAGAGCGGTGCTGGCAGGGCTGGGCCGTGGCTGACGGCAGCCAGGCCCCGGGTGCTGGCGCTGCTCGGGCGTCCCGTGTCGGTCACGGGGACATGGCCATGCCAAGCACTTGTGTGGCACACACATGCCCACTGAAGGGATCTCATCCAACAGCAAGAACTGAGAAAACACCTCCGAGCACAGCAGGCAGCACCTGCGGGGAGGGAGGCATGGAGGAGGCGACAGCACCGTGTGGGTCCGTGGGCTGCGGATCTCAGAGTCCTTCGGGCAGCATCATCCCTGGCACCCTGCCGGGAACCCAGTGCAGGGCATTCCAGGCTTTGGATATCTGTTCCCAGCCAAGTGCTGCTGACAACAGCTGTGCTATCGTCCTATTCCACCAAATGTCTTCGAAAATTCTGTATTTTTAACATTTTGGTGATCCTGGCAGTAGCTGCGCCCAGCACCATCCCTCTGGGCTGGATCCCGGTGTCCCTGCTCCGGCCCCCGAGGCCACTGACCCCGTGGGAGACAGGTTCCAGCTGGAACCGAGGGCTCCTGAATCCCCGGGAGAGGCTGGCTCCCCCCGCTTCCCGCGCCTCACCCCCGCGGGGGAAGGCTTGTCCGGGCTATTCTCTCTGGCACGGAGTCGCTCATTGCAGCGCCCATCGCTGCAGCGCCGGGGCTCGGGCACCTCCCAACCCCGCGAGCGCGCCCCCCGCCCGGGCCATTCCCTGCGCCGAACCCGCACCGCGAGGGGAGCACCGGCACCCGCAACGGCCCCTCCCGGGACCCCCGCCCGGGACCCCCCGACCCGCCGGGCACCGCCGGGGACACCGGACCTGCCCCCGTCCGCTCCCAGCACCGCCGGGCAGGGCGGCCGGGACCCCCTGGCCGTGGTCGCCATCCCGGTCCCGACCCCCGTCGGTGCCGGTGCGGCCCGTCCTTACCGTGGCGGTGCCGCGCGCCGCGGCCAGCGCCGGGAGCAGGAGCGCGGGGAGCAGCAGCGCCCGCATGGCGAGAGCGGCGGCGACCGCCCGCACCGACCGCCCGCTCCGCCCGGCCCGGCCCGGCCCGGCGGCGGGGAGGAGGAGCCGCCCGTCCCGCCCGCCCGTCCGTCCCGCCCCGTCCCGGCGGCGGCACCGGGGTCCCAGCAGCGGCGCCGCGGCGGCGAGGGCGGCGCGTCCCCCCCGGGCGGAGCCGGCCGTGCCCGCCCCGGGACCGCCCGGGCTCTCATGTACCGGGGTGCCCGGTGCCCCCGGGTGAGCCGGGCCGTACCCTCGCTGGAGCTGCCCGGTTACCCCTTTCCCGGTGCCCAGTGCCGGTGTCCAGTTTCCCCTCTCCTCATGCCGGGTGCCCGTTTCCCCTCTCGCGGTGGCCGATGCCCCATTTCCCCTCTCCCAGTGCCGGTTCCCCTCTCCCCGTGCCCGGTGCCAGTTTCCCCTCTCTCGGTGCCCGGTGCCGGTTTCCCCTCTCCCCGTGCCCGGTGCCCGGTGCCGCGGGCAGCGCTCGGGGCTCGGCCGGCGGGTGCCCCCTGGCGCCGCGCCGGTCCCGGTGCAGGGTCGCGGGGGGGCCGGGGCGGGCCGGGGCTCGGAGCCCGGGGCGGGGCCGGGCGGCGCTCCCCGCGGTCGGCGCTCGGACTACGGCTCCCGTGGTGCCGCGGGGGGGCGGAGCGGGGCGGGCCGGCCCGGCCGAGCGCGGCGCGGCCCTGGCTGTCAGCAGCGCCCGGGCGGCCATGGGGCAGCGCGGCCGCCGGGGCCGCTGAGACCCGCCGCGCCCCGGCCCGGCCCGGCGCGGCCCCGGCGCCGCCATGGAGCTGGAGCCGCCCGCCGAGCTGCCGGAGCCCCGCGCCGCCAGCAAGGGGCCGCCCCGCACCGGTGAGTGGAGCGCGGGGGCTCGGGCGGGCCGGGGCGGGGGCCGGCGGGGCCGGGGCCGAGCTGCACGAGGGGGTGCCGGGGGTCGGAGCGTCCCGGCGGCCGCAACTTTTCGCGTCCGCGGGGCACAACAAAGGGCCGCTGCCCGCCCTGCCCCGCTGCCCCCGCGGGCCGGGCCGGCGGGACCCGCTCGGGGCGCTGCGGGGCGGGCGCGGGGCACGCGGGGCTCGGGTCCCCTCAGACGCTGCGGCGAATTTAACTCGTTTCGCAAAAATCGCGTTTTCCCCATCCGAACGCGCTGTGCCGCGGGGCGTGCGGGGCGCGGGGCCGCTGCCCGGTCGCTCCGGGCGGGTGTCCCGGTACAGCCCGCGCGGTGTCCCGGTACAGCCCCCGGGTGTGTTTCCCTCACCCCTGTGAGCCGGTCCCGGCCCGGGGTTTATAGGCACCATTTGGGACCCTTTTACACTTCCCTTATGCAGATGCCGCATCTGCACTTGAATGTCCCTGCCAATTTTTATGGTTTACAATTGCATTTTACCATCTTAAGGTACTCGGGTTCTCTACAAAGGGTTTGCTCAGACAAAAGAGGCTTTTTATCAGGCAGCATCCTCGGTTTGAGATACAGGCGGTACCAAAACACACGCAGTGCGGGAACTGCAGAAACGGGCATTTCTGTAACCACCCTGATGTGTAATTCTGAGTTGTGTCCCTGGAAACACTTTATTCCTCCTCGCTTAATTAGATGTCCACTTGGATGAAAGACACTTAATACCCTTAGATACTTTAATAACGCTTTTAATACTTTAATACATCCTTAATACTTTTTGAACTTTATGGCTTAATTTGTGAAGTGTTGTTGCTTTGGTGACCCTAGGAGTCCAACAATATTAATACTTTGTCTGCATTTGCTATTTTTCTCGGTGGGATTTTGGGGGAATCTCTTTTGATTAATCAGATTAGTTCTAAGAGTTCCTTGCATGTCTCGTGTAGCTGTTTCATGTGACAGACGTACCTGTGGCTGCAGTTAGTCTTTTGAATGGATAATGTGACAACCTTTTACTACTTTGCCTTCAAAAATGTGAAATACTGGTGCAGTGTTGAGACATTGCTTGACCTTCAGTCTTTCTAAAGCCTTGGGCGGCCAGGGGAGGAGCAGAAAAGACTGGGTTGTTAATTCATGGGCTTATAAAATACCTGCAAATGGTAATGACAAATGAAGATTCTTAACATTTCCTCTTTCTAAGGAAAATTACTGGCACTTCTGATACCTCGAGCATCTTAGTGAAAGCAGTTAAAATTGTATGATGCAAATACAGGTACACAGGACAGAGATGTAAAAGTCGGATTGTATTCTTGGTGGCTATGTTAAAATCATTAATGAACTTAAGCTCTGCACGTGGCTTCTGTGTTAACCCAGAGTAAACTGCTGCAAGTTTATTGGTGTCTCCAGTGAGAGAAGCCTCGGGATAACTTTCAAATGACGTGGGTTTATTTCAGCAGTTACGGGCAATTGCAGCCTCGTTATTTGAGGGGGCACTTGACGTTCTCAGAATATAAGATGATGGTTTTTCCCTTGCCAATTTGAGTACCTCCCTTTCCATGTAAGAAACATATTTTGTCATTGAGCAAATTAATGGCAACGAGCAAAACCAATTTTTTTTAAAGTAATTACATTAAGGTGTTCATTTTTCCTGCAGTAGTAGCAATTATTTCTCAACAGGGTCTCATTTAAGAGCAGATTCCCTATAGCTTCAGTTGGCACGTTTTTCCTCTGTGAGTGAAACGTGATGGCTTTTACACAGTTTTAATTATTTTTTGTTTTAGCTAAAATAGGGATAAGGCAGGTTATCTAGAATTAAGGTAACTGTAGATACTTTGTTGTGTAGTGTGGTCACAGAAGACAGATTTATCAGGAAACAACTTGAATTTTGTGTTCCTTTAAAATTATCAGAGTTTCAGATAGGCAGATTACTGATCTGGATGAACTTCATACCAGAGAGAAGAGGAAGGTTGTCAGAGCACAAAGAATGTAAGGTTTTCAAAGAAAAATCCCTTTGCCTGCATCCCTTCCGTTTTCCACAGCGCTCCCAAACTTTACTGGCACAACACTGACATTTTTAGTGGTTCTTTAGGCTCGGTTGCTTTGCATCTGATGAGATAAGCCTTTGCTTAACAAAGACTATTTCATTGATATTGTTGGGTCTTGCTATAAACATTTCTTTGAAGATTTAGGAAGAAAAACAAATGGAGTTGTCGGATGGCAATGCTGCTGAAGTCAAATGTCTCTGAATAAACAAGAAGCTACAGTGTTATTTCAGCTCAGCGTTAGCTTGTTGAATGTGGATAGCTCTTGCTATTGTAAATAATAATAATGGAAAATAATAAATTGAATTCTGAACTCAGGTCTGTGATGGGAAATGAAAGACTTGTGGTTTAGGAAGAACTTAATTCCTTTGTTTGATTTGATGGTAAGATGGAAAAATACCTCTTGGTATAAAGTTGGAATTTGGTATTGATGTCTTCTGTAGATCATTAATCAGGAAGATGGGTTTATGCATGCCTTTTTGTGCTGAGCCCAGGACTGTGCTGGATGCTGAGCAGATGCAGTGTGTGATGTGACACTGCAGCAACAGGATTTTTTCCCTGCTTTGCTATAAAACAGTATAAAGATGCTGTGTTACAGAAAATGAGGGAACTTTTTCATCTAGGAGGCTATTTCGTGATTGTTGGGAAGCAATAGCCGTCTCTCTGCCCTGCCTCTGGCAAATCCTTTGTGGTATCTCTTTTTTTGGTGGGGAAAATGTGCCAGTGGTTTTATTGAATTACCGTTCAGCTCCTATGTGGTGGAGCTTTGAACAGATGCATTTACGCCAGCATTCTGTGAGAATGGGAGCACAGTTTATCCTGTTGATAAACTGCCTATTTAAATAAAGCCTTCAGCAGTGTAATCTGGTAATTCTAATTAAGTCATTTACATAGAGAATTGGCCCAGGGTTTCATCAGATGGCTGCTGGGGAGCTGAAATGCATTCTTCCCCTCCAGCTGTATTAAACCAGCCTTTTGATCCTGTCCTTTTTTTAGCCTTTAAGCCAGAGTGGTTATCACTGTGCAGAGTTAATTGAGAAAGGGAAGTTGGGGGACAAGGGGACCCTTCGAGGTTTAGCTTTGGTCTTAATTATTACAGTTCTAATTACATAATTAGAAGACTTACAGATTTTATATGTTGATAAAAATGATTCTGTACAGGTTTTGTTAGAAAGAGGAAATGCACCACAGAGAGGCTTCAGTGAAGTTCTTTATTGGTAAATGATTGCCCATAACTTATCTTGAAAGCAGTATATGCCTGGAGTATCTGAGTTCTCCTCCAGTGCTTCGATAAGGAGGTTTCATTTACTCAGGGTGGACCCCACGTCCTTCAGAGAGCACAAGTTACATGTCTGCCTCCCGTTGCTTAACCATCCCAGCTATGGGCTTGTAGGGGTGGTGAAATTTAAACTTAGAGAAATGTCTGGTCAGTGTGAAAGATTAATTTTTTTTAAACCCGTCTTCCCTTCACGAACACATCAGGAAAAAAAAAACCAGGAAAAATTTATCACGGCTCTCGTGCCAGGCTGACTGCTGTGATGTCCTTGTCTGGAAATACCTCTCAGCTGAAACGTGATAGAAACCTTAAATAGTTTTTATGGAAACATAATCTGGAACTGTGAAGTCCTAGGGACTAAATCTCAAAATTCTCTTGTTGGGTAAAACCCCCCAGCTCTGAGAAGCCCAGGGTTTACCTGTGGGAATTGCTTTGGAGCCCTCAGATCCTGAAGCCAAGTGATTAAATGATGACTGTTGTGGCTGTAGTAAAAATCTGTAAAAGAACTTTGAGTCTCTGAAAGTTCTGCCAAACACCAACTTGTCCTCCAAAAATCTCTTCATTCACTCTTACAGCTGTAGTTCTATGTTTTTTGGCAATACTTAGAAGGAATTATTCCTAAGTATATTGTTGCTTCAGATGTCTTGTGTGTGCTCTTGCCAGGAGACTCCACATCCTCTGCCTGTTTTATCAACAGCAGTAAGGAAATGCCCTTTCTGTGGGTCACAAGGAAATTTTTTTACCTGCAAATTTACCTTACTTGTGATGTTTTACAAAATTGAAGGAAA